AGGCTTGATTTTGCAGGTAGGAACTTCAAGAAGAAAAACGTGACAAGATCCATCCGAATATCACTACAAAATAAGACCGCCTGGGAGTTTAATTACATTCCACCTCTTTCATTCACAGCCCAATATTGCACCTCGAGGCCCTGATGCAGCATCTTGTCCCTTACCAGAGGAAGGGAAGGCCACGCCACTGCTCAAACTCTTACACAGTCACTCTGTACCATACCACATTTTAACATTGAGACCTCTCTATGCTACCCCCAACCTCTAATAAATCCTGAGCACAACCCCTGCACAGAAACCACCGACTCTACCAAATTTGAAGTCCACATGTCTACACCAAGAGAATTTGCAGGTCATTTTTAAGCATCTCCAAAAGAGGCAAAAGCAAATGAAAACACAGTAAATCAGCACACCATCATGGCATGAAAATTCTGAATCAGTATGTCTAAAATTATTCTAGCTCCAAATAATCCTCTTCTCCTGCGACCAGGGGTACACGCTCATCTCAAGATCATCAAGGGAAACAAAAAACATATCTTCTGTTTCTACTTTCTGACCACATTGTTTTTTCTTAGACATCAGACCTGCAACATTGTTTTCATTTATAGAAGTGAAACTGTAGATAAACATCAAGTTCAAGGAAATTGTGAAATAAATGGGCCTTGAAACATCATCAAAAGCATACAGGAAATGCACGAGTTTCTCAGTAGACACTAGATACCCTGCGTTACTTTGAACCTCTTTTAGATGTAAATACACTAACTTTAAAAAGTTGTTTGGTACAACTATCATTTAGCTACATTAAAAATGTTGGTCAACTACCTGTTTTTCTTGACTTGTACAAGGACTGGGGATATATCTGGGGGGTAAGGGGAGGAGGGAGTCTCTACATTTCACCCTTAATGGATGTCTTCTCACTTCCCTTCTTCCTGTTAAGATATTTTTAAGAAATATCAAATCAAGCACAAAGTCAGCAATGTCCTGGAGTGGAAAGGAGTTACACTGCTTAACGCTGCAGCCTGATTATGAGCCAGTTATTAAACAAAGAGAAGCAACATTAGTTATCAGAAAGATAGTTTTAACTATATCAGCATTCCTATTACAAGATAGGTAGTACATTTTAAATGCTTATTTACCTGCCGTTGAAAGGCTTGCTGAAAAGTAAAAAATCCAAATGCAAATTTGATACAGACCAATATATTGAGTCATCTATCTTCTCCCATGGATAGAAATTAATTATTTTTCTGAACTACTTAACTAAGAAAACTATCTAAACATTCTACAGTTACGTGAAACCATGATCTTTTTTCCAATATATGCTCCAAAAGTAGAATAGTGTGCTATAAAGTGCCAAAAGAAGTCCTAGGACAACAGGTTAACAAGGCACCATCTGAGGGTGAGGAAGTAGTAGTCTTCCAACAACTGCATTTTTAATCAGAGCCACATTAAATTTTGATCCATATATTTACTGAAGATCAGGCAGATAGCTACTAATACAGATTTTTTTTTTCTTTTCAATATCTTTTATTTTCCTAATGTAATTACATGCTCTTAAATGACGTATTTCAAGAATTCTCTTCCATGTTTTAGATCTTATTGCTACTGTTTTCTGTTCAAAGACAATCAACAGTGTTTTTAAATGACTGGCACACAAATATGCACTTTTACACCATTAAGCAGCAGTTCAAACTACGGACTAATGCAACTTCAGATTATTTCAGTGTACTACTGACAGAATTCATGCAAAACATTGCTGGTTTCCTTGCTGCTTTGGTGAAAGATCACAGCACTTGTGTGTTTAAAATAGGACACTGAAACCTGAGCCTTAAGAAAAACGTGAATGATTATTGCAGAAATTTGTTTCCAACCCCTGTTGAAGATACCTCACCCAGACCGGGTCACATCAAACAGTGGTAGACACTTGAGTTCTAATATTTAAGCTTAAAGAGACTATATACAGTCATTTGCAAGTAACCTTTATCAAATGGCAAAGTTACTGAAGTTTCATGTTAATCACAAGTCTATTCATTGCACTTTTATAAGTATACTGCCATATTTTAATAAAACATACTGCTAGGTCATATTGGAAATTAATTATTGATCCCCCTGAGTTGTTAAGATTAAACTTTTACAACCAATTATTTTACAATAAGTTAACTGGAATGATGAATAGTTATAAAGTAAATTAAAACCATAAATCACACGCTGTTTACTACATTTAGATCCCTGGCTGTATGAAAGTTTGTTACCACCTATGCACCAACAAAACATTAGCTTTAAGGAACACGTAAGTGACTACTGCTGCTTGATGAATTTAATATTTTATCATCAGCAATAAGCACATTTTTTGTGATAGAAACACTGGAAACAAAGTGATTGCCAGAGTTACCACAGAAAGTGGGTGAGCTTAATTTACACAGTTCTACTGGCAGTAGAAAGCGCAGTAATTTAAATATAGCTCCATAAAAGCCTAGCTGGCACTAGGTAATAAAGGATTACTCAATTAACCATAAACCAGAGCTTACAATACTAATTGTTGCATCTCCAAACCATTCTTGAATCATGAGAGAGTTAACAAGTGCATGTTTACAATTTCAAGACAGGCTGTTTGAGCACTGTATGATAAAAGAGAAACCTAGAGATTTAAAATCATCACTCAATGGTAACAGAATGATAAAGATGAACCCTCAGTGGCCATCATTAGTTTAATTTGGACTGCTTGTATTTTTAAGTACACATTCATTTACTTAGGGCACATCTCAAACCCACCTATAAAGAGAAAACCTCATAACTGGATATGCAGTTCTATTTTTTTATAGTTTGTCACAAAATCAATTTGTAGGATGCTGTAGAAGAATCAATGCCTACTATGCAAGTATCTTGACAAGTATCTTGACATCTCCCATAGTACTGAGAAAAGTAACTTAACAGAGAAATGCAGAGCTCAGTACTTCAGCCATAGATACTGAGTGTCTCCCTGAAGATATTAAAGTAAATAGCAGTGTTACATTATTACACAAATATGCATAACCACAGTCATCAAGTTACAGACCTATTAAATGCTGAATTTAGTACTTTGAATTTTAAGTTTAGCATACACAGAAACACTACCAATAATCCACGTTCTCCCTCTCCACTACATTACACGCCTTTCATCTACTACAGAGAGAACAAAACCACAAATAAAACACATTCTCTTCCTGAGTTGCCTTGGCATGTCTGAATTGTGACCCCTTTTATATGTTTTTGACAAAAGCAGATACTTCTGAAGCAAACCAGTTATTTATGAAGTGTCTTAAAATATCAAAAAATAAGGAAATACTGAAACACGGAGGCTACAGAGAAACGTAGTAACAGTTCTCCCCAAACATTACCAAAATCACCGTGAAGTTGTACTACAGCCTGAAAAAGTCAAAGGTTTCCCCTCACATTGAATATTAGTGAAGAATGGAGTCCATCCTCCCATCACCAACATGGCATGGGAGTAACAATACTGATCTAGGGCATATTGTATTTTCTTTTTAGAAAAAAAAAAAATCGAAAGGCACTACACGCCCAACTGGGATATTCATCTTGCCTCCAAACAATAAAAAACTTCCAACGTAACAATTTATTGCAGAGCTGCACAATAAAACTACTAAATTGATTTTGGCCATGCGGCGACACCGGTCTGTAGGAGACACAACATTTGTGTTGAAGAATTAGGAACGTGCAAGAGGGGTGGAACCACTGCAGGACTAGAAACCCAAGGGAAGTCAGGAGGCTGTGAAGCACTCCAAATTCTTACGCAGCCAGAATTGTGGCAGCTTCAAGAAGTGAGCAAATTCAGGACTTCACAGCCCACAAGGCCTCTAATTAGCATAAACCCTAAACTTTTGGGTTTTTTTAATTCAGTAGGTGGTGTCACAGGATGAATGGAGAGTACTACCACCAACCTGCACTGCTGCAAACCCCCACTTCTGAACATTTGCACATCATCTGACTGGTACAATAGTTCCTGAAATGTTGTTAACCACAAGACAGAGCGTGTATTTACACTTACTAGCAAGCCTGGAAAGAAAATAAATATAGCAAGAGTAAATACTGTGGCCAAAGGTGAACACAAGTGTTACCAGTAGGGAGAGTACAAGCAAGAGAAAGTACTACAAACCCGCTGAAGTTAAACTTCTTTTTCCCCTGTCCAGTAGGGAGAGTACAAGCAAGAGAAAGTAGACAAGTACTACAAAACCACTGAAGTTAAACTTCTTTTTCCCTTGCCTGGTTTTCTGAAATACCTCCAAAACTGAGGGTTTCTCTACAGATTTATCATACATATACTGTTCTTCACAGAAACAAACTAAACGTTACTCTTTTTTGGAAATGCACTATCAGAAACTTCAAAAAAAATGATTCTGACACTGTACAAGCCACGACTGTATCACTTCTGTGTTTCACAATTGTACAAGAGAAACTGAATCAAGGGGAAAAAAGCGGTGTTTCACAGTAATCATGCTGTTAACATTTCAATTCAAATTCTGCTTTGAGGAAATGTTATGTTAAATAAAGGTAAGCTTCTCCTGTTATTTCAGGTCCTTTTTGTGACATCCAGAAACTGTAAAAATCGAAACTAGAAGTCTCCAGTTACGGATAATACACTCAATTCAGTTTATGTTTACTCTGAAGAGTAAAACACGTCAGAAGTTTGCTTATGCAGGTCTGTGTTACCACTGTGGTTAAACACATGCCCTTGTTAACAAAGCAAGTTACAAGAACTTAAATCTTTTCATTAAAAACTAGTTATATCAAGTACAGACACCTTGGGTAAAAAGCACCACTTCCTCATGCAACACACACACAGAGAAATCCCAGCTGTATGAAAAACAAGGCTTCCAAACCTAGAAAAAAACAGGAGAACTACTACAACGACATTGATTTCTTACCCTACGCATGGCTTCCTCCTCCTCTTGACGCTTCTCATAATGTGCAAAGTCATCAAAGATTGAGGTGGTATGCTTGAAAGTAGCAATTATTTTAAGCACTTGCTTGGCTTTTTCTAGGGGTACCTCTTGAGTGTCCCTCGAATTGGTAACCGGTTTGTTGTCGTTGTTTTCCAAGCGAATATGCCGCAGTTGGTTATTGGGAACGTCTTTGACAAAGATCCATTTGACATCAAACTTGCCCTTCCACTTATCCTGAGACCAGACACCAGCGTACGCATTGTAGTCCACAACAGACTTCATCTCAGCCACTCCACAAAAATGTCCACTGCCATTCACGCTGAAGAGTAAATAGAGCGGGCCTTTTCCGTTGAGGGACCGGTAAGCAGCATCCAAGCGCTTATTCCCATGTTCAGTACTACACCAGATAGAGTACTTAATGGAGCGATGAATATCGTCCTCAGAATAACTTTTGATTATAAACACACGTCCATTCTTCAGATTCCAATCGAAGTCTTTGGGATTGTAGTTGTTTATGGCCTTTAGTTTCTCCAGCACTGGGTGCACTTCCACCCCGGAAGGTGAGGAGCTGACAGAAACAACACCTAAACCAAAGTTCTCGCTGCCAGCTCCGTTGTTCTGGCTGAAGCCCACACCCCGATTACGAGGAGCCACCCAGCGGTTTTGCAGCTGTTGCTGCTGCAACTGGTGAGGCTGGGCCTGCTGCTGAGGTCCTTGTTGCTGCTGTGGTTGCTGTGGCTGAGGCTGCTGTTGAGGCAGTTGGCTTTGCACCAGTGGCGGCGGTTGAATTAATGGCTGAGGCTGCTGGATTATAGTCTGAGGAGGCAGTACTGGTTGGGCTGGGGGGGCTTTTACCACCGACCCTTTGTCATCCCAAGTTCCAATATTCATGTTGTGTTTTATAGGTGGCGGGGGTACAGCAGGGCCCCCGATGCCCACGTTACCTTTAGGCTTGAGTTTCGGTTGAGGTTTAGCAGGCTTCCTCGCAATGGCAGCCCACGAGGTCGGTTTAGGCGCCGAACTGCTAACCGGGGGCACGCTGTTGGCCGCGATGCTCGTCATACCTGTACTGCTCAGAGCTGAACCTACAGTTTTTGTCACAGCAGCCGTCATATCTCCACCAATTTTCAGTCCGGTCATGCCTTGCTCAATGCTGCTAATGCCAGGCACCTTGCTCAGAGTATCACTGCCAAATCCAGCCTGTCCATCTGCTATGGCTCTCCCAAGAGAACTAGGTGGATAGCCATAGCTGCTGCTGTAAGCAGAGCTTTGCGTTGATTGTCCCTGAGATCCACTTGTCCCCCATGTAGAGAAGTCTGCATTCCCAGGAAAAAAATTAAATCCGTGCTGCCCGAGAAAGGGAGGGGTGTTTCCTAATGCCCCAGGTTGACTAAACACACCATCGGGTATGTAATGGTGTTCACCATTACTCATCTGTCCATAAGTTGTCAAGTATGGCATTGGAGGGTCGCCTGCAGTTGACCATGCTGCTTCGCCTAAAGAGTATGGAAATCCAATGGATGGAGCATAATAACTAGGCATGTATGGGTCTGACATTGGTGGATAGCTGTTACTCTGCAAGAAAAATAAAACAAAAGTCAGTAATACAGACAATTATAGTCAGGGAAAAAAAAAAAAAAAAAAAAAAAAAAAAAAAAAAAAAAAAAAAAAACAGTCTGTAATACAGTCCAAAACATTTTTTTAAGGATTACAGGAACGCATTTGTAACTTCCACCAGTCCTCCCAATGTAAAATATGAACAAGGTATCTGTTAGATAGGGCCATTTTTTCCTCAAGAGACCTTTTCAAACAACTAAAGAAGCCCCATATTTTGTAATATATTAACTTCATTTTCAGTCACTGAGCTAGGCTTAACTGCCTCCATGTTAACAGTATCAAGAAAAAACAAATTACTTAAAAAAAAAAAAGTCTTAACAACTGTAGTTTCACAAATGCAGAAAAACAACTGCAACTATAATTTGAAGGTTTGGTATTCTTTGGTTTTTTTTGTCAAATTTGTCACTTTTAATTGGAGACACCTGCCAGAACATTATAGTGAAAAGGATGCCTGTTTGTTTCAGGAGGAACAACAATCAAACCATAACATTTCCACATTATTGAGAATGGGCATTAAGTACAATCCGTGCTCTAGCAGAACAAAGTCTGCTGCCTAAATTCAAATTCCACTCCCAAGGCTCCTGGGAAATCAAAGCATTTACTTCTTGAGAAGATAAAGCTCCAACAGATTTGAAGGACTACCCCTATATGACTTCTGATGTTGTTTTGGGGAAAACACTGCACATTATCATCCTCTAGATGATGCCTCATTAATGTTGTGTTATTGAAAAACAATGGGAAGGCAGGGAAAATTCTCAAAGACTTCATAATTTGCACTTTCTCCCTCTATCAAGACCACTACAACTTAACATAATGAATATTAACTTTTACGACAGAGACAATTCACAGATCTAAAAATAAGTCATTAACTTCCTGGCAGATGCTTCAATCTACTATTCCATCAAGACTGAGCTACTTCTACCACCTTCAAAGGAAATCATGTCCAAGCAGCTAATATTTTCTCAAAGAAACTCTTGTTTTGAACTGTACTGAATATATGATGATTTCATTGTAAATTTAAGGTGAGGGGGCTTTTTTTGGTATTTCTGGTTTGTTTCTCAGGTTTGTTTTTTTTTCCTCAGGTTTCTTGTAACTGCATCTTTCTGAAGTCAGAGAACAAGCACGAGTAGGAGACACCACAGCATGCTTCTTAACTGAATCATTTCCAGAATTATTAAGATGACTTTACCTGCTTAAGACATCCTATGATAAGACAAGATACAATATGAAATTATACTTCAGTGGATATTCAGGCAAGTAATAATGCTAAAAAACACCTTCCAAAAATTAACTAAGTCTGGAAAGCAGCTGAACTCCAACATTAACTTTAAGATAGTAAACAAAGTTCACTTACCTGATTTGTCTGACTACTTAGATATGGCTCAAAATCATCATCGTTTACTGCATCCTTTTGATGAATCGAACCGTTTTGTACTGAAACTAAAAGTAAATCTGTATTAGGTATAGTCTCTAGAAGATTTATGATGCTCTTTTAATCTACGTAAAACTTCTTAACCACCCATACATTGAAATACTTCTACTTACGCTTTGTTGAGACTGAACACATTATTAAGCACCACCTTGTTAAATTTAAAGATAATAGCTCATTCTATTGATGATCCGGCCCAGATCTCAGGAGAGGTCTGGAAGGATGGCAACCAGAGAGTACTACTCCTGACTATCCTTTCCTGAGCTTCACAGGCAGAAGAAAAACTATAGGCACACCTTATGTGCACAGGCAGTAAATCCAGCGTTTCCAGAAGTACCAGACCAAGTGCAAATGTACAGACCAACCAGATGAGACATATTCAATAGGTTCAGGGAAAGTTGCAACATCCAGCTTTCTCCTGCCAGGAGGAAAGGCAGTACCCACTAAGGCAACCATGAAGGGCACCCATATTTAGTTATTTAATTCTGTATTTCCTACATAACTTTTATACTGTACTGCCTTAGTGGCATCTCTGAAGGGACAAAGCAAGACAGAAACAAGAGCTAAAGTCCCCAAGGGTGATAACAATCCTTTCCTAACGTATACGCCACTATACACTGGAATCTCTTCCTACCTGCTCTTCTTGGCTTCCTATTACCTCTAATTTCATGTAAGGCATTAAACCTACCTGGGATTTTCCAGCTGCCCAAATTACCTGAAGTGTCTTTCTACCCTCCCTCAGGCCATTATTCAAACAAAGTCAAATTGCACAAATTTCTACTAAGCTCCACTGCTTCCCATGGTGCAAAGCAGAACTTAAACCAGCAATTATACAACTTGAAGACGAAGACCTCTCAAAAAACAAATTACTGCTTTTCCAAATGCTTTTTTTTTTTGTTATTTATCAAGTAGGTTCATTTAAAAAAAAAAAAGGTTTAGAGCAAAACCATGACAGCACAAGTTACAACAAAACAGCAGATTTTCTGACAGCTGGAGACACTGAGTTAGGAGCTGACTCCGTGGTTTCCTTCTTTTAGCAAAAGCTTCTGAGAAGTATATACAACCATGTAACTAAACCTTCAAATTTGTTAGAGTTATTGTTTGAGAGTAAGGTTTTCTCTGTTTCATTGGGGGTGGGGGTTGTGTTACTACCCAAAGTTCACATTGCAAACCAAGCACTGACTGGACCAAAGCATTTAAAGTCAAAGGTGGAAAAAAAAAGATAATTTAACGCCTCTAAAACAAACTGCCTTCAGGGAATGAAACTAGATGAAAAAAATTACAAAGGAATAATCACAAGGAATAACCAAAATTCTGGAAAAAATTATTAACTGCAGACTTCAGTAAGAAGATATAAGAATTCATAATTTAACACAGAAGAACAGAAGACTTTTTTCAAAGCAATTATCTGGGAAGGAAGAAAGCAACTCATGTTTTGAATGTCTTCTTGAAGTTTTAGAAGTCAGAACACTTGCCACATCAGTTATTACAAACTGGCACAGTGCATTTGTATACTACCTACAGCCAAATATAATCAGCAGTGGTGAGAAATGGGTTTTAAAACTTGATAGAACAGTATTTCTAATGAAATACCAAATTTAAATTAACATTAGGTGTTGAGTGGTTTGGGTTTTTTTTTTCCCATAAATAGTTTCAGTTAAGGTCATTAATCACTCTGAATTTACACACAATGGTAACATATTAATGAGCTGGAACACTATATTCCTTTTTATATTTTGCCCAGTCACACAGGGAATGAGCCTCAAAATCTTTTGTCCTTGCCACGTCCATTGCTTAGACTTAACCAAACAGTACAGAGAACACAATTCCCAAATACAATTCTCTTATAATGAGAAACATAGATGCAGCGTACAAGTTTCTTAAAAGCATGCAACCACAAATAAAGGAATAAACAGCTGCATGTCAAGACTAGAATCCTATCAAAATTAATCTCCTCATACTGACAGCTAATCTTCATAAAACGTGCATCTGCTGTGTTTATTGTTTCAGAGCTATCTAAAGGTCACTTAAGATAGAATTATTTTTGGTCTGCCATTACAACCAACATAGAATATTCCTGTAAATGCATTTTCTTTCTTATTCATTCTGTATTGAGACTTTAAGTCAGTGACACGAAACAGTTCTACATTGACATTTTTCCTAGTAAATATATACTTTTCCCAGTGAAATAGCATCACTAGTATTGTGTTTCTTTGGCTTTTCATTCTAACATTACAAAATGTGTTAATAATGAAGAATGTAGCCCACACACATTTAACAAGAGCAAACAGATTAAGATGCATGCCTCATTCCCAAAATCTCACATTAAGTGTTCCAACTAAACAGGGCAGTGATGAAGAATACTAATTGAAAGTAATCTTCAGTTACTAAAAATATCTGTATCAATCCAACTCTGAAAATACCATACACTTCCGCAAACACTGTGAAAACATACAATGTAATTAGATATTGGAAAGAAACAACTCATCAAATAAAGGAACTTAAAGCTCATTTCCTTTTAACTGCTACTATCCTTTGAATAACCACTTGCAAAACACACAAATGATGGCCAAAGGCATAATAATAAATTTTTCATTAGAAGCAGCCATTACACCTTGATTAGTGTGGAGAATAAATACTAAGAGAAACACACAACATTTCAGTCTTATTTTAAATCTAATGCTTACATTTAATCCTTCTACAAAACCAAAAATCATATACATATATATGTAAACATAAAGTCAGCACTTTCCTATCACAGGTGTGATACACCGGCACAACAAACAAAAGGTGTGGGGGGAAGAAGTTTCAGGAATGGCAGTTTCTCCCCCAGCACCACCCCCCTGTTAGACATCATTTGATTGATGTCAGTTCTGATGTTTTATGTCAACTGTACAGTAGCTGACAACTAGATCATGGAAGCTTTCAAAATAGGGTAATTTCCTCATTCAAGTCTCTGAAATACCAACATTAATGTCCCAAATAACAGGTGGATCCTACTGTTCCACACACTAGAACTTCAATACCACAAATTCTGGTCAAGGGAAATGGCAGAGTAGACCCATTTATCATCAACCAGAATAAAGCATCCAAAACATTTGACTAGACAATACAAATCAGCTACCTCCCAATATAATTTTGCAGGTCTAATACATTTTGTTTCGATATGAAAAATACTCTTATTTCCATTCATACACTCCTTATGCTACCCACTCACATTCTCTCACTGCTCTAACCTTTTTACCACCCTCTTTAATGCTATTACTCCTATGCACAGAACCAACTTCAGATCAGTCTTTTAACTCAGTATCACATCTTCCTTCGAAGCTCCTTTAAGCTGGGACCTATCATGATGCCTGAAAAAGATTCTGGTCTGCCAACATGTGGTCAGTAAGGACTGCTGATACTGACTTCATTTATCCTCTTGAAAAACTCTCTAACCCAAAGCCAACTACTTGTGTCACCATCTTCAATCTCCTAGCCCTTTAATCTAATTCTAAATCATAACTTAGTTTCATTAAATAGAAATTATACTAAATAATTTAAGAGAATGGAGGAGATTGTTTCACTATGGTTCTCAATTTGGTCATATTGTCACCAAAAGAATATATAGCAAGTATCCATCATTTAAAATGATGCACCCATAAAAATTCAGGTTCAGAAATGCAGAAATCCTTTCCTTACACAGCAAACTAAGAGATGTGTTTTGATCCAAACATTCTGCAGCATTTACAAGTTATAGCACACAAAAATACGCCAACATAAATAAGTTAAAGATGACTCGTGCGTTTTCACTATTAAACAAGCTGCAACACAACAAACAGAAACACTTAATACCTCCACTCCAATTCATATATATGGAGTATAGTTCAAAAATTGTTTGTATATTCTCTAATAGGTGCATCTCGATAAACTCCTTCAAACTGTGATATGGTAATTCAAAGAACGTGAAGCCACAAACTACTTGCTAAAATGAATCTGACTTTTCTTCTCGTTTAAGGGCAACATGGAAGGTATAAACACAAACTATTTCAAAACCACAATAAATAGTTAAAAGCTCCAGTTTGGGGAAAAAAAGGTGGAAGTATTAGAAAAAGAGAGAACAAGTATTCAAGAACGACCAAATTGAGAAGGTGTGAAGAGGTGAACCCAAGTTCATTTTTCTCTGAATGCAGAGAAATTAAAAAGAAGAGGCCAAATTTAGCAAGATTCAGGAACCATGTGCCACCTCGTAAGTGATATGTAATAAGCAGATAATCTGCACATAGGCAGAATAATAGAATAAGTACACTGCAGATAACATGAAATGACAGTTCACAGAGAACAATTAGATTAGTTCAGATAATGAACAGTGGGGGGCAGAGAGCTCAAAAAAAAAAAAAGTTTATCTTCATGAAGAAATAAGCATCTTTGCACAGGAAGGTAGCTGTGTCCATGCTGTTCTATAGCTCAGCTTGCTGAGTGCCTAATAATTAAATGGGCACAAATGTACTGATTAGGCAAAAAGAACTCCCAACTAGAATATTAAGTCTTTATATCAAAGATAACAAATTCCAGACCAGAAATAAATTGCAAGATATAATCTGAGATGCTGTTTACGACAGACTTGCCAAGAATTCTAGAGAGAATATTAAGTAGTTAGTTCCTTGTTTCTGTGAGAGAAGAAACCCCATTGAGCATGGCATTTAAAAACTAAGATGTTGACAGAAACATGAAAAAAAAAATAGAAAAGCAGAAGACCTACAAACAGGGAGAGAACGTTCTATACTGACGCTAAAACGAAGGGAAAAGCCCACAAAATTTCTGAGAATAAGGAAGGTGATGTATTCTGCTCACAGATATGAGTAACTGAGCAGTCACATGGCTGTTGCCTCCCAAGCTAAGGAAGCTGTTCAGAAAGATTCTTCCTGATGATTCTAGTACACTGATTCTATTCACTGCACAGAAAAGCCCAAGGTGTACTGTTAAAGAGACCACGCAAGCATATCACGAAGTCAGCTAAAAAGAAATAGCCATGTTATCATTCAGCTTCTGACATTAATCTTCATTTACAAAATAAAACATTTTAAATTGACGTACTGCTGTGCCACAGTAAAATTGCTGGGAAATAACATTTTGGCACGCAATTTCCTGTCATCCTGCTCTGAAATAAAAGCTATCCTACAGCAACATTCTCTGCCCACGACTGTCTGAAGACACATTAACCTCCGTAAATAGCAACATTAGAGATTTATACAGAAATAAAAAGAATCAACTTACCTTTATTTCCCTGTCCTTTAGGTCTCTGCATATAGGAAAGTGGGGGAAAAAAAGCAAAACAAGTTCAATTAGAATCCTCTAATGTTTACCTCAGGGTAATTCCATTTATTTGCCAAACCTGCTCTTTTGAACTCAAATATCAGTATAAAATATTAATAAAAAGCATGCTGTTACAATACTGTATTACATAAATTAATCATATAAAATATTAGTAAAACCCAAAGTTATTTTAAAATTGAAAGAATTTCACCAGAAAACATTGAAATAATCTAGTCTCTTACAGCATGTGAAACCTAAATGATGTTGAAAACCCAAACAACAAACGAATTTTGACTACCCCTCAAAAATATATAAGCAATAAACAAAGCATAGAGTAAAATAACAAAGAAAGTTAGTAGCTTAAGATTACTGCCAGTACTAGAACTTCGTTAGAACTTCATTATCATATGTCATCTTTTAGAACAACTGATGGGTATTTATCAGAGAATATCCTACAATCCCTTGATTTTTAAACACAAAGGAATATACAGTGATATTGTAAGCTCAACTACAACTTGTGCATTCCTCGTGTAGGCAATTACATTGAGAAAACGATACAGCCCGCATGAAGCTTTCACACAAGGAAATAATACCTTAGAGGAGGATTTTTATTTTTTTTTAGGATTAGTCATTACAAAACACTGTTAATCTGTCATGCACTAAGAATCACTGTAGCAGTACAAGTTACAGTACCCTTAATTCCTTTACAGCAAAATAAAATGTTGTAGAAAAACAAATGCTAGCCCATTAAAAGATAATTCATTCATCTTCTCACATAAGTATAACTAAGCATGAGTGGACCTCCAGGCTCCAATACTTTCTAACAATTTTTAGTCCTGAAAAACTCAGCATTTGAAAGTTTAGGAGGCAACCACCTCCATCTTGCTTTTACATGTAACTGTCTCAGAGTTATCCTCTGTTTAACACTGCTCCATCTACAGCTGGTTAGTCACCTCCCTCTCCCAAGACCAGAGAAAAAAAAATAAATCTCTGTAACCTTAAAAACCCCAACCACCTCATCTTTTGGGATGAATCTAATCCAGACACAAAGGCATGCAGAGATCTACAGGAGACATGGGAAGTATAAAAGTTGGGAAGGAGAACAGCCTTCGTGGAAGAGAGAGCAATGAAACGAGATCACTGAGCTAGAAATAAGTGCATAAAAGGAAACTGGAGAGCGTAGCAGAGACAAAAGAAACAAAACATTAAAGGCACAGAAAGAAA